ATTATATATATAATATAATATAACATATTATATATATAATATAATATTATAATACTTATATAATAAAACAATAGAATGTTAACATGTCAACAATAGCATAAAACAATAGGCTACAATAGTAGTCTCTTGAAATTATAGCCAGGTTACATCTTCCAAAATGTTCTGTGTCTTCTCCTTTGATTCTTCTGTCAGGAATCTTATCTAGGAGTGCCATGGTACCATTGTGAATAGATGATGCTTTCTCTAAAGGCTGAGAGCTATTATCTCTAGCAGATGGCAGTTAGCTCTGCCGATTTTCCAAGTGCCCCCTTCTTTTACATCCCTGATGACATATTAATTTTTTACAATTGGATTGGTCCTAGGTTGTCAAAACCATCAGATTCAAATTTGATAGGTTGTTGGTATCGAAGTACCTGGCTCAAATTGATTAGCTAAGTTCAAAAACCTGTTGTCGTTAAAAATGCTGCTTGGCCTTCTGATACAAATGTTTCAATTTGGGTGCACGTCGTACTTGTAAACTTTCAAGCTGCTCACAGACATCTCCAAGCATAGAAAAAAAAATCTTTTAAAGGGACCACGTAATGCTTTCCCTCCTAGCATTTTACAAACACCAATATTTTACAAACACCAAATTCTAACATCCTGCCTTCCAATCCATAAATCTAGCCAGCTTTGCAACAATGTCAATACACTTATTCAATTCACCATCTCTTATCTCTCACTCACCACTCCCAGCAATGGGCAACAACGTTCCCGGTCATTGTTCTGTCGTGTGTACCTGTGATTGCTCATGTCAGCAGCTACATACGTTTGATAATTTAAATGACGTGCAGCCCATGAGATTACTTCTTTTAGCAAAAAAAAAGCAGTTTCAATGAACATACTTTCTCCCTATAAATCCTGTAGTAGGAGGTAACATCACACTTCCTGTAATACTCTGTCACTTGAATTAAGGGTACATTTACCGTGCTACATCTCACTGGCTGATTCTTCCCAGAATTCTCTGAGCCTTCACCCACCACCCCTCACTTAAGTGATTCCAACCTCCAAACATAAGCTAAATAAAAATAAACCCAACGAGGTCTCATCTAGCAGTAACTATACCACTGATCACCTTCTTCTGAAAGGGGTAATCTACCCATCTCCCTCCTGCATCTAGTTATATAAGCAATACAATATAATCTAAAAATACTGAAAGTTTCAGACTATATCAACGTACCTGCCTGGTGATGTCTACAATTTCTTATCCATCAAACAAGGTGAAGCTGGTAATTAGAGATAACAAGGTGTAG